AAAGGACCTTAAATAACAATAAAAAGGGAACGGCAAGAGGGCACCCCAAAGATGCGTAGTTTGTTAGCCTTGGATTTTAAAAAAATGTTTACTAATTCAGTGTAGGAATCAATTCCATCCCAGAGTTGGTCATACAAATAAAAAGTGCTGGAGGTTTTAATGAGCATGCGGGTGTGTGTGTGTGTGTGTGGAATCCCAAGATCCATTTTCCTTTGGCAGGACAGGAACAGAACAGCAGCTTGAACACCAGGAACAAAACATCTGGTGTCACCCTCTGTGCCAATTTCAGTTTCCTCTCCAGGTGTCACTATGGTGTAAAAGTGTCCCCAATGCTGTGAGGTCTGTACACTGTCACTGAAAATGCAGAAGGGGGGGTGGTCATGATGAGATGCCACAGGGCAACAGGCCTCATTAAGGAGCTTTCAACTTTGAGGGATTAATCCGACCTCTTTACATCCAGGACTGACAATGGAAGAGAAGTGATGCAGGTTCTGGAAGGAGATGACAAAGATTCTGCTAACCACAAATAAAAGGTCCTCTTCAGCTTCAGTGACCAAGGAGAGGCCGTGCGAACTTAGCAACACTCCGAGAGACAGTGGGTGGCTGCCGGCCCCTGGGGCTTCGTGCTCCATGGGTGAAAAACATTCTCCCCCGCGTGCAGGCGGCTGGCATCTGCCCTGTGGAGACATCTGAGGTGCCTCCCCGCCAAAGGCTTTTAGTCGGTCCTCAACAAAGAGCTTTCCTCTGCCGGGGTGGGGGGTGGGCTGGCCATTGTAGGGCGAGGGGCGGGCAGGGTGTGAACAGGGCCGGCCCTATCACTAGGCCTGCTAGGATCTCGCCTAGGGCGGAGATACTAGCAGGGCGCCAATCCCCCGGCCCCCCCCCGCCAAAACCCCCCCCCTGCCCAAAGCCGGCCACTGCTCCTTTCGCTGTGGCGGTGGCATGGCAGCAGCGCGCATGCCGCTCTGCGCTGGCCGCCGTACACCCGTGCCAGCTCCTGGGGAGCACTCAGTCCACTGCCCAGAAGGGGGCGTGGAGCCTCCAGAGCCTGCCCGCATACCCCCTTCCCACATGCAAAAGCGCCCTGGGGCTCCGCAGCTGCTTTCCCAATCGGGCTTCCCGTTTCCTCCCCAACACTACAATGACAAACCTCCATCTGCAGAAGCAAAAGCAGAGGGGGAAACAAGCCTGATTTGATTTGGCTGCTTGGCTTTGATGCCCCTTTTTTGGCCACACCTCTGCTCATAGAGAAGATTTTCTTTTTTCAGAATCAAAGGGATCCCACCGCTCAGTCAGTCACGGCTCTTTTAATACAGGGGGAATCCCCGCCCCGTTACGCCATTCAAAGAGGATTTCCCTGCCCCGGCACTGGGAACTCCCCACCCTCTCGTGCCCTTAAAAGGACACTCGCCTTTGCACTGCCCCCATTCAAATGAGGAGCTGGAAAGCAGCTTGTAACGATTCCTTGTTTATATGTGTGTGTGTCTTTAAAAGTTTGGATGCATAGCTGTATGAAAGTCTAGTGTGGTTGAAACAGGCAAGTGGTGTGATTGGTGAGTGACAGAGAGGGGGAGGGGTTTTGGAAGTGATGCTGTGTGGATGATATTTATGTCTGTCAAGAGTGACAGTTAGTGAGATGACTGTTGAGAAAGGAGAGAAGAAGCTTCCCTGTGTGGGTTGTTAAGTTCTATGTCTTAGAGTTGAATAAGACAGTTGATAAATTAAGTGCATTCTGAAGTCTGAAGGAGAGAAACAGTGAACTTGCATGACCTTGAGTTTATGTTACAAAGTTGCTTGAAACCTCCCTGTCAGTAAAGGAGAAGCTTGTGAGAGACACCAAGCAATGGTTCAAATCATTCCCAGTACTGTTTACATGTTCTCGTTTTTACGCTTTATTTAAATAAATGTTATTTCATTCAAGTATACCAGCTCTGGAAAGAATATTCCTCAGACCACATAGACCTTCGTGAACGCCTAAACCCTCGGTATACCTACCCATTGATAGATAATATATTATAAAGGTTTGGAAAGCCTTATAAATTTCCTAGTGGCAGCCGGATTACCCAGTAGAGAAAAACCTAAAGAACACTTATAAAGGGAAACCAGACCTCCCCAAATAAGGGGTCGTCACACAGCTTCTTCTTGGTCATCCAGTGGGAGTAAGGATCTGGCAATTCATTCACACACCTCACACGGCCACTGTGAGGATATCACAAGCGCGGTCCTGCATGGTGGGATGAAAATATAAGCACATTTAACATTCCACCTGCCACATTTGCTCCTGGGATGGGAAGGTTCTCTGCTCTTGTAAGTCTCTCCATTCATCGGTCGGGCATAAAAATGTACACAAAGGTAACAGGAGCAGTCCAGAAATAGTCAGGGGCACTTAAGTCCTACTGAAGTCCTCAGAAGAACACTGTGGACGATGTAACACGAAACAGCAACTGTGTCTTCGTGGGCCCCCGGCACGAAGCATGCAAGGCCGACTGAGTTCAAAGAGACTGGTGCATACTCCGCTCTCTCCTGATGTTACACGCCCACAATTGCTGCTACTGTCTAACTGGGTTCTTTGGTATCCAACCAACAGAGCAGAGGATTTACAATCAACATTCTTTGTTTACAGTTCACAGGTTTCGTTCCCTGGAAGATGGAGCTTAGAATACGCTGGCAGAACCCCGTCAACAGATGTCCAGTTCCACAAGTGTTCAGACGCAGGCCGCTCTGGGTATACTGGCAACTTCCCTGGCCTGACGAGTCCCACACACAGATCAGGCGCTTACTTCTACAGCCAGGACAGGAAGATTCCCGAGCTGAGACCGTCTCTGGATGTCGCTGTCGGTCGAGGGGAGTCCGGTAGCTTCCTCTGATTTCACCACCGACACTACCTCAAGCCAACAGCTTTAGTGTGCGCACAGTGAAGAGGCCTTGCAAAATCCCCCAGAACTCAGGAGGGCACAGGGGTGTCTTCTCTGTCAGATCGGTCGTCCTCTGTGTACGGACCAGGTGCCAATTTCATTGCACGTAGAGGCAAGGTCACGACAAACAGTACCCCAAAAGAGGCATCCGCTGCGTGTATCGTTTCATCTTATGACAGGCAAGGTTCAAGAGCAACTAGGAGATGGTGACCCTACAGAGTCAGGAAACATCCCCCCCACCCACCCCAAGACTCCGAGACAGGAGTGAAAGTCAAATGTGGGGCTGGGCAAGAAAGGGAGGGGTCGACACATGTGGGGGAGGGGGCGACACACATTTTCTATGAAGCTGATACACACAGCCCCTTTGAGGGAACTTGACCATTCGGTGACACAATGCTGCTCAAACACTCGGAATTAACAGCCGGCTCTACGAACAGCCATTCCCAAGGAAATTCAGATCCCCCTTTAAAAACCCCAACAAAAACGGCTCTTCGCATGTTTTTCCTCTAATTAAAGCACAGTACTGATACAAAAGCCAACGGGGACGAGATCGTGCCAAACGGCCCAGAAAGAAATCGCACCAGCGTGCAAAGTGCCCACGTGGAAACAGGTTTTTCCTCCCACCCTCCCCAATACCACCTACAAATAACAGCCAGGAGAATATTTTACGAGAGAGAAGGAACAGAGCCCACTTTCCCCCCTGACCTACCAACCACCAAGTTTCATCAGTCCAAGTGAAGTGCCAACATCAGAAGATCAGAGACTACACCACACGGTGCCTTATGAGGGCTCAACGGCTGGTGGTTATAGCAACAGAACCCCGGCTGAGTGAGGGACACTGATAAGGGGGGGGGATCTCTGGGGAAGAAACGCCTGCAGGTCTCGCAACAATAGATGGACAAAGCCACCTTGGCGAAGAGGAATTTGCCTCACCTGCAAAATGCTCATTCTCTGAAGGGACTGGATGGGGACAGTTCCCCCTGGGGTGACAGCTCCTCTTGCCGGCAGGCACGGTCAAGGTGCTCGGGCACTAAAAGAAGGGTCCTGACTGGCAAGAAACTGGGTCTTGCAGAAGCTCATGGCGGAGCTCGCTCCCCAAACGCACGCCGTCTCCGGCTTCTGTGTTTCATTCTCTGGCCCTTCCCACAGGCCCCAGGGACCTGAGGAAAAAGGGTCTTTGCAGAAAAAGCAGGGCGCCCTGCATGGCGCCACAACTCTCCCCTCTCACCCCAACAGCTGGGGCAGGTGTGCTCTGAGGGGGCTGACCCCAATGCTGAGGGGGAACTCCTCCTCCGTTCCACCCTCCCCAAATGGACGGCTGCCCCTCCCCCCGGGTCTCTTCCGAGGGGATTTCCCCCACTGAAAGACTCAAAATGCTTAACCTGAATTCAGCGGTGACAGACTCAGGAGGGTCGCCGTATGGGCCTGAAGCGACAGAAGGAAGTCTGAGTCCAGGGGCACCCTGAAGACCAACCGGGTTTAATTCCGGGGAGAAGCATGAAGGTGGCCAGGTGCGTGCACACGGAGGCTTCTACCCAGAGTTAAACGTTGTTGGTCTTCGAGGGGCCGCTGGATTCAAACTTCCTTCTTAATTCAACGAGTCCAGCTGCTGCCTGGGAAGTGGCCAGCCATTCTGAAGCCCCGCAGAGAGCAGACAGCAGCTGCCCGGAAGCTTCCGGAGGAGGCCTGCTGATCAGCCTTGCTCCGGTGTAGAGGATCCCATTCCCACCGCTGCGCTAGAAGGAACAAGCCCTCCCCCCCCTTCCACGAGGCCCAGAGAGAGGGAACTGAAGGATGCTGCGGGGGGTCCAGCTCAAACGTGACATCTGCTACTGAACCCTGAAGGATGCTGTGGGGGGTCCAGCTCAAACGTGACATCTGCTGCGACCGATGGGACAATCACGCCCTCAAGCGTCACACGGAAAAGGACCTACACCAAGCCTCCTAGATAACCACTCTTGGATTTTTCTTGAGCCGACTTAAAGGTGTTTTATGGACTTCCCGATACATTTTCCGAGAGCGACTGAACTCAAACGTCCAGGGGCGGAGGAGGGACAGAAACAGGAAGGAAGAGGGAACACTCACCTGAGAAGTTTCGAGACACCAGCATGGTCGTGAGGATTGCGCCCTGAAAGAGGCAGAAGAAGGTGAGCGTAGGGGGACTGAATTGCAGGCCCCATCCACAATGACCTGGTCTCCCCGGATAGACGGGATATCTGTACAGGGCACCAATCCTGCCAGAGAGCCCTGTGTGCCACGCCTCAAAGCTTACAGGGGCCTCTAACTCACTTCGGCACACATTCGCCAGCCTGTATCAGTAGTCACAAAATGGCAGAGTTGAAACCCGCTGCCCAGTTAATCCTTATCCGCTTCTGTGTGGTCACAGGCAAACAGGGCAAGACCCACTACATCCCAGGAAGACGGAGGACCCATCTCAATGCCATCTACAACGACAGAGACCATCCACGGTTCGCCCAGTCTTTGTCGGCAGTCACGAAATTAGTGCCCTTGCCACGGCACAAAAGGAATATTGTAGGAGAGCAGTGCAGACATCTGCGTGGCAAACCCGAATGTAACTCACTTTGGCACACATTCGCCAGCCTGTATCAGTAGTCACAAAATGGCACAGTTGAAACCCGCTGCCCGGTTAATCCTTATCCGCTTCTGTATGGTCACAGGCAAACAGGGCAAGACCCCGTACATCCCAGGAAGACGGAGGGCCCATCTCAATGCCATCTACAACGACAGAGACCATCCACAGTTCGCCCAGTCTTTGTCGGCAGTCACGAAATTAGTGCCCTTGCCACAGCACAAAAGGAATATTGTAGGAGAGCAGTGTAGACATCTGCGTGGCAAACCCGAATGAATTCACTGTTCTCCTGGCTAGAGGTTGGGAACCCAGGTATCAGGCTAACTGCACAAGGCAGAAACATCTGCTGATGTGCTGAGTTCATCGTGAGGAGCAACCTTGGCAAAAGGGGCGAAGGAGATAAGGAGCTGTGAGCTGTTGGAATCAACACATTCCATGTGTTAAACGTGTGCCTGTAACTTTCCCTTACGCAGGGAGAAGAAAGGGAGGGGACGGAGGGAGAAATTTTCAATAAATATTGTGCCCCAGCCTGGCTGAGACACCGAGTTTCCGGCAGCCGTTTGTGTCCTGTCTTCTTTGAACCCTGCAACACTACAGAACATACTGCTCAGTTAAACCCTCTCCATTTTGTATGGTCACAGGAGATCATAGGACTGAGGCTCATCCTGATCTCGTCCCCAACTGCAGAGACAGTTAGAGGCACGTAGAGTGTGCACCCCGATCCCTGTGTCAGTCACCACCACCACCACCACCTGGACCACGGAAGCACCAGCCTATCCGTGCACCACCACCCCATCTGCGAACTCACCTTGAGCTTCCTTCTGGCATTGAACTTTCTCAAGCATTCCACAGTCTCTTGCCTGTGCATCATAGAGGCCACAGTGGAGCGTTGCTGGGGAAAAGAAAGTGCATGGTTAGACATGGTTAGACACACTGCTTTTTACTTATGAATGCTGTGGCAACACAATCAAAGAAGGAAATTTTTGGACCACAAGTTTATAATCACTGGGCTAGTGATTGCACTTTAAAGGTCTTATGTGCATATTTACCTTGCGGACCACGGAAGCTCCAGCCTATCCGTGCACCACCCCCCGTCTGCAAACTCACCTTGAGCTTCCTTCTGGCATTGAACTTTCTCAAGCATTCCACAGTCTCTTGCCTGTGCATCATAGAGGCCACAGTGGATCGTTGCTGGGAAAAGAAAGGGCATGGTTGGCCCCCCGCCATATATGTTTTAAAATTTTTAAGAAGAAGCCTCACAGAAAAGCAAAGCAGTACTTGACTGCGAGCCCACTGAACATTTTCAGCACGAAAGGGGAGCCTTCTGGGGCCACCGCGGTGTTGCCCCTGCAGGGCACTGAGTTGCTCGAGTGGAGATCCACTTCCTGCCCTGGATTTACACGAGCAATGCCTTTGCCCAGTGTCCCCCGCTCCCCAAATTGCTGAAAGCCTCCCACCCCATTTTGGATGAGCCCAGCGACCTGCAGAATAACACAACAGACCTCCGAAGGGCCTTTTCTGCGAAGGACAGCGTGTGAGAAAAGGCGATACTTACACACACCCATGGGTGCTTAAGTGCCTGGTCAGCGGTGATGCGCTTGGCTGGGTTTATGGTCAGCATCTGGTTGATCAAGTTCTTGGCTTCGGGAGTCACCGTGTCCCACTCTGGGGAAGGAAACTAGGAGGGGCGGGGAGACCAGGGACCATGCTGAGTCTCTTTCTGGAACTGGACGGCTTCTTCTGCCCTCCTCTCGTTCACCTGCACACTCCAGCCCGTGGCGAGGCCCCGGACTCCCGCCCCACGTGCAGGCAAGGGGCCCGGCAGAGATCCCCACCCGAGGAGGGCCTTGGCGGGGCCATGCCCAGAGACCCTCGGACAACGCTAAGGCCGGACTGGAGCAACGGGTGATTCCCGCAGAGAAGTCTGCATGTGTCCGGGGTAATAAGTGGCTTCTCTGCCTTGTGTTTTGCCCAGCACATGCGGAGGAGTCCGCATTTGCACACCACCCTCCTTCCCCTTCCAGGGACAATCCCCCTTTGGAAATACGTTCAAGAAAAGCCAGCCTCAGAGCAGGCAATTGCAGGCGCAGGGACTGGGGGGTGGGTGGGATTTGATGACCGGATCACTTTGTCCCGGTTTTCTTACACGGTTCATCCGGCACCTCTTTCTAGGGAAGGACACGATTGCACACGCATTCCTCTTGCATTCAGCTGCCATTGTTTTGGGGTACATTATGGCCACTTATTTGATCCCCAAAGACACACACACACACACACACCTGGCAGATGTGTTTGTGGGGGGAGCGATTCCTGACTCGGTGCCGAAGACCAAAACTGTGAAGAACAACTAAGCGTTCTCAGTCTCCCACGGCACCAGGAGAGCAATCGAACTGGAAGCAAGCCCCACGAGCCCCGAAACCCACCCGAAGCGGGCAATGTCGAGGTACTGGAGAGACTGCTCTGTTACCAGCTGCTCCCAAACAGGGAATTGTCCTCAGGGTACATGAAACCCTCTCTGCTGGGGTTGCCAGCTCCAGGTGGGGAAATACCTGGAGACTGGGGGTGGGAGGTTGGGGGAGCAGAAGGATTTCAGTGGGGGTCCAAGGCCCATAGAGTCCACCTTCCAAAGTGGCCATTTCCTGGAGGACCAGTTGCAATCAGTGTTCCCTCTCAGCCGAGCGAGTGTGAGCCAGCTCACAGTCTTTTAGCCTCCGGCTCACACATTTTCCTCCTAGCTCAGGGAGGGATGGGGCTCCGGAGCAAACTAACTGATGCAGCAGCCCAATCGCTCGCTCACCACTTTGGAGGCCAGCAGCTCACAAGAGTACAGTTTCTGCTCACGAGGAGACTCCACCGCTCAGAGGGAGCCTTGGTCCTGACCAGCGTTCCCTCTCAGCCGAGTTAGTGTGAGCCAGCTCACAGTCTTTTAGCCTCCGGCTCACACACTTTTGTCTCAGCTCAGGGAAGGATGGGGCTCCGGAGCAAAGTAACTGATGCAGCGACCCAATCACTCGCTCGCCACTTTCACGCCAGAAACTCACAAAGTAGGATTTCTGCTCACGAGACTCCGCAGCTCAGAGGGAGCCTCGGTTGTAATCCCAGGAGACCTTCATCTACCACCTGGAGATTGGCCACCCTGCCCTCTGCCTTCCCGTGCCCTTCCATCGTTGCCCCAAACACAGCAGAGCCTACGGAAGAACACTCCGCCCCCCCACGTCCGCCCCCTCTTTGCACACAGCAAACTAACCCCAACATATCTGGACTGGCTTATTTCAGTCAGCCGCACAGAAGCACCTTTATCCAGAGCATTCTCTTACATCATAGGCCCCTGCTTTAATCTGCTGATACAGCTTGTGCTGATCTTCATCCCAAAACGGTGGGTACCCCACGAGTAATATATACAGAATAACTCCTGAGGGAGAGGAGAGAAGAGAAGGATTACATTTAGGCCAGCAAGAGCCAGTTTGGTGTCGTGGTTAAAAGCGCGGACTCTAATCTGGGAGAGCCGGGTTTGATTCCCCCGCTCCTCCACTTGCACCTGGCTGGATGACCTTGGGCAAGCCATAGTTCTGATATGAGCTGTTCTTGAAAAAGGGCAGTTTCTGTCAGAGCTCTCTCAACCCCACCTACCTCACAGGGTGTCTGTTGTGGGGAGGGGAAGGGAAAGGAGTTTGTAAGCCGCTCTGAGACACCTCTGGGTAGTGAAGGACGGGTCATAGATCCAATCTCTTCTCCTCTTCTTCTTCCTTTAATCCTGCTGCCCACTGGCAGAATGCGCCCTGTCCCAGCACTACAGGTGACGTTGCTATGGCCACCTCTGTCCACACACTCTCATGAAGCCGCTTTACACCGAATCAGACCATCGCTGGTCCATCGAGGTCAGTCTCGTCTACTGGGATTGGCGGGAGCTCTCCAGGGTCTTAGGCAGAAGAGGCGTTTCCCATCACCTCCTGCTCAGTCCTTTTAAATGGAGCTGCCAGGGATTGAACTGGGGACCTTCTGCGTGGCAAGCAGCGGCTCTCCCACGGAGCAACACGCAGCCCCTCCAGGCAGCCACAAGGCACCAGACTGACACACCCCGAGGCTCAAGGAAGAACCTTTGTGTGTGACGGTCTCTCCTCTGTGCTCTGTCGCATACAGGACTTCTGTCTCTTCATAATCCAAACTCACCTTTATCAGGAGACTTGGGCTGCTTTTTATTTTAAAGGCACAAAACCAGCCAAATAAATTTCATTTATTTGGTTATTGGCATTACCTGAGAACACAACTGAATAGACAGAGCTCCCTACAAGACGCTGTAACAGACGTTACATGTATTCCAAGTGATCAGAGAAATCCACAGGCGGTTAAGCGCAGCTATAAGCAAAAGCAAATGTGCCTGGCGAACGCCTTACCACAGGCCCAGATATCCACCGGCTTTCCATAAGGATCTTTTCTTAAGACTTCAGGGGACAGGTAGCCCGGAGTGCCAGCAAACCCTGCCAAAAATAAATCCCACAGAATCAGCACCTGAAAAGAAAGTGGCCCTTCCTTCTCGTGCCAGAGGGTGGGCACAAAATCCAGGAGGCCCTGAGGCCCCCGCCCCCTCAGCACATGCCAAAAATAAATCCCACAGAATCAGCACCTGAAAAGAAAGCGGCCCTTCCTTCTCGTGCCAGAGGGTGGGCACAAAATCCAGGAGGCCCGGAGGCCCACGCCTCCTCAGCACTTTGAAAGCAGACTCAGTCAGCTGGGCAAGAGGGAAAAGAGGCCACCAAGGAAACAGGGCGTCCTCCGAGCCCCCAGGGCTGGCACCTTCGCCCTCTTCAGCTCCACAGGCCCAAAGAGCCCTACAGCTGTCCGCCTCGGGCGCATCCAGGGCTATTTTTGGGCAGGAACGCGCAGGAACGGAGTTCCGGCTGGCTCCCGAGTTGGCCACGCCCAGCAGGAGCTCATTAGCATAATAGGCCACACCCAACAGCAGGAACTCATTCGGATTGGCTACATTAGGGGTGTGTGGCCTAACATGCAAAGGAGTCCCTGCTACAAAAAAAGG